GAAACATTTTTGATCTGATCAGGCCTTCAATCCGATTATTTGTGTCCATGTAAACGTAGCTAGTGTGGAGAAGCAACCGACCTGTTGGGACAGACGCAGATGTCATGCATGTAGAATTTGATGGCTTTGGACTGCTCCTTGTTCTTGAAGTGATAATCAGCCAACAGATAGTAGATCTCATCGATGATCGGGGGAGCAGGGGGGCTGCCTGCTGGAAGGCACGGCACCTTAAAGAGATCAACGTTGAATATCAATAAGATGGATTTAAAAAAAGCACATATTTGCACATTTAAACCAAAAAGGTGCCGATTTGATCTGTGTTTAGCAGAACTTCCATCCAGAAGGAACCCAGCTGACCAACCTTCTCCGTCATGTCCTCGATGTACGCCGCCACCTCATCCATGGTGAAGATGGGGGTCTCACTTGGGGGCGCTATGTTTGCAAATCTCCTCAGCAGGTTGGCCAGCTCTGCGGACACGGTGCTCGTCTTATAGCTGTCAAACTCAGGCAGCGACTTTGGTTTGAAATACTGGAACATGAAAAGAGCGTCGCTCCACTGAAGCTCAACCTGTGCAACGGAAACCAGCACCGGGGCCAATAGATTAGAGGGTTGTCTTCTCACTGATGATAAATAACTGGTTGCAAATTCAATGCACCCACTCCCACTAGTGGCCGGACCTGGGCACTGCAGGAACCAGCAGAATTATTTCTACCTGAGCTCCTCCTCATGAATGAACTCAAATTTCCCTTTCCAAGTTAATTTTAGTCACAAAGTAACTAAAATGAACATATTCGATACCATTAATTATCCTCCTTAAAGATCTGGCTTTTTTTATTCTTCTAATTTTAAGCTTAAAAACAATGAATGACTCCCCACAAAAATTGGCAATTGGATTCAGTTTTACAAAAATCTTCACAGTACAAAAATGTATGTATATATATATATATATATATATATATATATATATATATATATATATATATATATATATTATATATATATATATATATATATATATATAGACACACACAGTTCCGAATTGCCCCAAGTGGTGCCCGATTTACGGGTGAGTAAAGTGAATGTGATTGGCGGGATTGTTGTGGAGGAAGGTTCGCAAGCAATTTTGGTTGTGGCCATTGTCTCAGAAGCATCTTGCTAACCAGTTAGCAACTTAGTGCTAG